AATAAGTTTCTATGAATATATGTTATTTTAGAACGCCAAACTCTCATCGAGGAACAAACTAAATGGCAAAATACCGCATGGACAAGCTCAAAATCTTGGCCATCCCATGCTTCTATCCACGTAACCACATCGGCTCTCCTGAAGGTGGACACCTTGAGCATAGGTCCTGCTGAGATGCGATTGAGAAAAACCATTTCTTAGCTCAAAATTAAGCTCAATTTCAGCTCAAAGTCAACAGTAGTCAAACACAATCTAGACTTTCATGAAATTCTTATTAACTATGTTGACTTCTGTGGACTTCTTATTACCTGCGCTAAGTGGTGCAAGTCACACAAGCTTTGAGAGTAATAAACAAATGTGACTCTATTTAGAGAAGGTCCACTGTTTGCATCTCTAAAGCAGCGCCAAGCTTGCATACCCCTAGATTTTGTCGTTCATGAAACAAATTACTTTCACCACCACTTTTCTTTGTCCACAAATCAATTGTAAAAGTGTTTCTTTAATCTTCTCAGCTTATCGGTTCAAAATTTGCGTTTTATTAGTTTTTCAGAACATGGTGCTCAAAGTGGTCTTTGTTGTATCTCAAAAAAGAGGAGCGAAAGCCTCGTCATGAGATTGTAACATATTTCGTTCCTTAAAATTATTCGATAGGTTGCTTCGACAGCTCTTGGCATCACCATTTGATGCAAGTTTAAAGATGTTTCGAAGAACACACTAAATCGAGGAGTTCAAAATCTCGGCCATCAGCCACACCAGGTATACCATGGGACATGCTTATCAAAGTGTATCCACTCTCGCTGGGTATCCACCTCGGCTCCCCCCCAAAGTGGACACCTTGAGCATGGATCCTGCGGAGATGCGACTGGATCACGTCGCGCTTCATGTCCATACGCCGCGAGCTTAAATCCCCACTCGTCGACACGTCCGTGAAAGCCACGAAGCAAAGGGTGGCGCCCCGGACGAAGCCATAGCCGAGCATGGCGGGGATCGCGTCTCCCTGCAAGTCGCGCAGCCGCATGTATACGTCCACCTCCCGGACAAACTTTCTCAGATAAGAATCGGTGTCCATGCGAAGGCTGCTCGTCAAGTCCCTCAGCCGGACAAGCACGGGCTTGCCACGGAACTCTGCCTTAAGTAAGATCCGGCCCCTGTCCCTGTTGTGCGAGAAGAGGCTGGCCTGGCCTAGCTCCGCCAGATCGTCCCACCATGCAAGCTTGGCGACGAGCTCATCCACGTTTGCCACCTTTCGCTCCTTGGACAGCTTCCGGAGCCTCGCAAGGATTGGCAGGCGATCAAACGGCCGAGGGCCGATGCTTACAAACGGTGGAGCTCCGAGATCTCTAGCATCAGCAGCGATCTCACCGTCGAAGCTCTGTCCCAGCCATGCAGCGAAAGCGCAGGCCTTGAGAGCGTTGCCACTGTTGTAGAGAACCGGGGGCGAGATCCACACGCGTCCTTTCACGCCAGGCAGCCTCTTACACACGAACGTCTTGGCGTAAGACGAGACGATCCCAAAGTAACAGCCCGTGAGCAGCATATAAGAGTAGAGCCTCGCAACTTGGATCTCCAGGCTGCTGTTGTTCTCGTCAAGATCCATAGCCATCACGCCGACGAGCGAAACCTCGCGTTGTTCTGGACAAGTCGCCGACTTCACCGTGTCGGTAGCATCCGGGTAGCAGCAGAACGCGACGCAGCAAGTCCCCCGGATCTGGCCCGACATAAGGAGCAGTCCCAGCAGCACGGTGCGGAAGTTCCCGGCAGGCGATGGATCCGGAGCGACGCGATCATCCGGCTGCCGCCGGGTCCATTCTTCCATCTCTCCGTGAAACGACCACCAGCAGTGCATCTGAAAGTCGAGCGGGCAGAGCTCGGCGAGCGGTGGCGGAGAAACGTTGGCGTAGGTGCGGATCACTTGCTCGGGGAGCTCGGGCAGCGGGGCCTGGACATACTCCTTCCACGCCAGCGGGAGGTTGTCCGACCACTCCACGAAGACGTCCATGGAAACACTCCATGATTCTTCCAAGTCGGCCTGGACGGGATTGATCGCTGTGGGCTGCACAAAGACCATGTCTTGCCAGTGCTGGGGAAGAAAAGCGAGGTCCCAGCTTTAGGGGCTCCGCGCTTAGAGATGGGTAGCTTAGAAAGCTTCCTCTTACCTTTGGCGATGGGAGTTCCAGCATGGTAGGCAGCGCGTCTACCCTGGTGGAGGCGGCAACGTCTTCCATGGCGCTCAATTTTCTTAGGGCAGAGAGAATATACTAAACATGAGCTTTGGTGAAACATCAATAAAACCAATATATGAATGAATATTCGAAAAGATAAATATTATTTAGACCAGCTCAAACATTGTTTAGCGGCTCAATACAACGTACAAATATTCTCGTTTATTCACACGCTTCTGACCGTAGTATCTTGTGAGTATCTTTTATAATGACGGGCCATAGAAAGGATCACACAGGCACTTTCTACCGCACCCTGAAACACGCATTTCTGCTCGTATAGTATGGATATTCTTAAATAAAATATTTGTCCCCAAATGACAACATGACACGTAGAAAAGCTTGCCTTTTATTCTAATCAAACCCTTTTAAGGTGTAACAGGGGGGTTTTTTGGACAACGGTCACCTCACTCGGTCACTCTCTCCACCAAGTACTCCCTAGCATAGTACTACCTTAGGTCCAGCAAGGTAGAAAGATTGCCAGCTAGAAAAATGACATTACATGGTCAAAAAATGTTAACAGGAATTTATAGTGACGTTTTGGGCAATGGTCACCTCACTTAGTCACTCTCTCCACCAAGTAATCCCTAGCTTAGTACTACCTTAGGTCCAGCAAGGTAGAAAGATTCCCAGCTAGAAAGACGACATTAAACAGGGTAGATGTAATGGGAATTTATAACGGAGTTTGTCACCTCACTCAGTCACTCTCTTCACCAAGTACTCCCTAGCTTAGTACCACCTTAGGGTAGAAAGATTCCCTTTCAGAAAAATGATATTAAGAATGGTCAAAAACTTTTTTGACCGGCTAGTATATAAGTCCATGTGGTCACCAGCACAGTAGACGAGCGTTGAGCGTGTGCTTGCCATCTACATACTTTCCTGCTTAGCAGCTTGCTTTATGCGTTTGTGACTTTCCAGCTTCTCTTTGTTTTCTAGTCATAGCACCGTCGTGGAGGGCAGAGTCTTCTTGTTAGACGAGCTTAGTAGCACACACCAATCGTCACCTTAGATCAGCGCTCTGTTTTGAGCAAGCTTCTGGTCTGAGCGTCTCTCGCATCCTCTTTCTTCCGACTGCCAGTCGCTTCTGGGCGCTCGCTCAGCAGGTAGTTTGCCAATGTCGAAGACATTGTGTAACTTTACTTTGTTCTGGATTTATAGGTTCACGGGACAGCTGGAAATCGGTTTCCCACTTTTATTTGTGATCAAGCAGGCTGCCTGGATCTTTTGCTTTATCACAGCGGGCGGCAGGCGAGAGCAACATACAGTATTGATCAACAATACCAGGTACTTTGAATATGGCGAAGACATTTGGTGTTTTTTCAAACGCATTGACTTTCTTCTTTTCTTTTCTAGATTAAACAGGCCGTAGGCTTGGTTATAGTCTGCTGGAAATTGGCGCTAAGCACTGCTCTCTCTTGCGCGCGCTCGCGGTGTGTGAAAACTCTCTCTCTCTCTCTCTCTCTCTCTCTCTCTCTCGCGGTGTGTGATTGGTTGGTCGATTTCAACCTTTCTAGCATCATGCTCTGTATCTTCCTTGCGTGTTTGGTTATTTTGTTCCTGCTTAAATCGCTTTGTGCCTAAAATCCTGAGAGGTTTCTCCCATACTTATTTTCTTGCTAGAAGCTGACTGAATATTTGTGCAGTTGAGATCTCTCATTGCATCATGGAAACAAAGAGCAGGAAAAGGCAGAGTTTAAGCATTGGATCCACCAGTGATAATACTCAAGTGACCCAACAAGCATTAACTCCATTTCACGAGGCATTAATTAATATTTCTATTCCTAAGCAATGCTTCAAAACCCCAAACAGCTCCACAAGGTAAGTATTTTTTTCTAACAATGCTTTTCTAGTTATTGGGTTTTCATCTTAGGAATCCAAATTTAACTCTCACTCAGATTGAAACGCTTGAAGCTAATCACATTAATCCTTATGAAGAGCTTCAATTTGTAAATGATTGGGATGGTTGTGATAATCTAATCGATGATCTTCTTAAACAAAGCAAACGAGTTCTTAGTGATTTTGAGGTAATTATTTTTTTTATTTTTCTCAATTGACAAATTATTTACTATAGGTTCCAAATATTCAAACTTATATACTACCACTTGTGGATGAAGAAAGCATACGATGTTTTCTTCATCCTTATTTTGGATTAAGCTCAATTGGTGCTCAAGAATATTTTCTAAGGACATCAAATACTAATCTTAACTTAGGATGGACGATTATATCTGAGCAAAGTATGGGATATACCTTTTATTTAAAACCTGATTTTGGCTTATTCACCCAAAGGATAAATGCTAGATCTAATTTCACACATTTTGTTCCTGGATATTCAATAGCCGAGGGTAAAATATTTAAAAATATTGCCCACGGTAAGTATTTGTTTTCTCTTGAAATTTATAAGGGCTAATATATTTTTACAGATGAAAATACAAGTCTCTCTTATTTATTTGAAGTAAGAACGGAAACAGCAGATGCTCTTAATCAAATTTATAGATACATGCTTTACAACAAAATGACTTATTCAACTCTTGTAACTGATAAATGTATTTGGTTATTAAGAAAAGTTGGAAAAAATCTTGTCAAGTTTCATTTTTCTTGTATTAATACATTTGATTTTCTGTTTCAGGCAAGTAGAGGGTATAACATCAATGATAAGCACATCAAAATGACGGAAGCATTTTACGCTTTAAGCTTACTATCTGTAACATAGGAGCTTAAGCTGTAGAAACACTCTTAATAAATAGTTTAGTTTTCATCAAAGTCTCGCCATTCCTTATCTTCGTGACTTGGTTCTTGACGATGCAAGCGATAACTCCTAGCGAAGCAGCGGGATTTGCTGTGGGCGGCCTTCTCCTCGCCGCTGCTCTTGCGGCCCCAAGAGTGGACAATTACATTGCCCGCTCGCAGCGAAGGTATCAATCCTTTCTCTTCTCAAAGTCTTGTTTGTAAAAATGCAAGCTCAGATCTCTCGGGCTCTGTGAAGACTGCGGTGGATTGAAGAGGAAGGCTTGCGGGAAATGCAAAGGCCGGGGGGAGCTAAGACCCCAGCTTGCAATCTTCGATCAAGGCGCCACAGGAGAAAAGTGTAGAGAATGTATGGGTCGAGGCTACTTTCCATGCACTGCCTGCTCAGCTTCCCAAGCTCCGAAGTGAAAATCTCACTGAATTAACATAGCCAGCTGCTCAAGAACAAAGCTCGCGTTCTATCGCTCAAGGTCTATCCACAAGAGCACACAGCAAAGTCAGTTGTGAATGACCACTGGCGGGAGTTTTTCTACCTGGTCAGTCCTGTTCTTTCTCCACGAGCATGCTCTTGACGTGGTTCTTGCCCCTGAGTTCCTTGTTGAGGAAGCTCGACCTGTACTGCCCGAATGTCATGGAGGTGTACCTCGATGGCTGCCTAGGATTCACAAAGTTGGCCGCAGGAGATACGAGTGTATCGGGCAGCGGGCTGTGAAACATTGCCAACGATATGCGTTCTTTGCTCTCGGTCTTCACCACGGCTCGGTGCTCGACGCTCTTGTAGAGGCCATTGGTTATTATCTGCGAAGAAAAAGAGGTAAGAAATTGAGGAAAATTCTAGTACCTCAATCTGATCTGCAAGGTTCACCACAAAAGCCTCCGGATCAGCCTGGACTTGGACCCATTTGCCATTTTTCCTGACCTGAAGGCCTTCGACGTCGTCTTGGAGCAGTATAGTGATACCTCCGGGATCAGAATGAGGACTCAGTCCCATGACGCGGTCAGGCTGTGGACACGGAGGGTAATGGTTTACCCGAATAGTCTGGTAGATGCACTCTCCAAACTTTTTCTCCAGGAAGTCGGACTCAAGGCCAAGCGTCTCTGAAATCTTTCCAAGGAGGCATTTTGCAAGTCCATGCACCTCGTTGGAGTACTCGTGTAGCACGGTCCTAAGCACCACATGTAAAGGGGCCGATAATAAAATTAGAACAGAGAGTACCTGTAAGACTCGGGCTTGGTAGGCCAGGAAGACAAGTTCCGAGTGGAGATGGGGAGCAATTGGTGATAGAGAAGATCAACCCAGTCGAGCACATCCGACGCAAGGAAATGCCTCCCGTAGCCTTCACAGCTCCCTGGCTTTATCGCAAACTCCAGCTTCTCCTCGTGAGACAAATGGAAAAACTGTCGAGCAGCTTCTCGGACTCTTTCGAGCAAGGAAATTGGGATATCATGATTTACAACCTGAAAGTTTCATGTCAAGACAAAGGCGATAAAAAATTACTAAGGAGTACCTGGAAAAATCCCCACTCTGCACAAGCTGCTCCTAGCTTCGCCAATTCTGAAGGATCATTCCGTAGTAACTTCCCGTGATCGATGATCGGCAAGCTCTCTTCGAAAGGAGCTGACACACGGGAATCAAGCGAGCGCTGAAGAAAGCGTGAAGGCACTTCTTCGAGGCCATTCTGTACCAAAGCCTGCACGGAAATTGGAGGCTGCGACTGCACAACCAGAGCCATTTACAAGAACTTCTATAAGGGAAGCTTTCAGCACTCCGCACTTGTTTAAGAAGCATGCGACCGCAACTGTAGACTAGAAGACTAGGCTCACGATTTCCTTGTGAAGAATCATCATAAACATCACAATGGATTCTTTTAAATGGTATCATATTTACCTGTGGGGCTCTGAAGCAAATGTTGTGGCTCAGCATCAGATAGGCCACGTACACGGTCCCATCCCATATACGACTTTTCATCGATGCCACGATCGTCAATCAGTGTACGAAGTCTCTCCCAGTAGAGATTCGGCATTAAGCTGTATAGAAATAGTAAACCGAGTTTCGTCAATCGATGCTCACGACGTCGAAACCATAAAAATCGTCCTTCAATTGCACACTTCCAGGCGCGGGTCCGACATTTTTTGGATGCTTGCTGTGAGCTTCGTTGTCATACGCCTGTAAATGAGTCCATGTTAGAAGCACGGGACCATAAAGCTAAAAAGCACCTCTTCAGCTGCTACCAATTCAGGATTTAGCGCCTGAAGCTTCTGCTTTAGTTCTTCCAACCGCGAAAATCCTGCGACAGAAGTTTGCTCGACCTGCTCAAACACACCATTAGCAAAAACCTTGACAAGATGTAACCAACCAAACGGCTGAGATCGTCACAAAGCTTTTGTTTTTCCTCTTCTTCAGCCTGCAATGCAGTTTGTGCCGCTTCCCATTGCTGTACACCTTTGAGAAGCAAGTCCTATGTAATAAATATCGTGACTTCACCTTCTTCGCATTCTCTTCTTTCAATTTAGCCTTTCGAATTTTCGCTCCCGACATTTCGATTTTATTCCGTAGGTGTTCAAGGGCTGCATAAGAAGGAAGATTACTCAAAGACTAAAAGACAAGAACTCACCCGCTTTTCTCGGGCCAACAGTAAGTTTTATTTGCAACGAAAGCTCAGCCAGCTCTTTCTCAAAATTGTGGATCTTCAAGTAATTGTCTTGTATATACCTGTAGAGACTTTCAGAAAAGAGAATAATAAGCCCTCTTACTTTCTCAGCTCCAGCTCCTTTTCCTCAAGAACCTGTTTCAGACAATGCTTGAAAGAGAAGAGAGGAAAACACGGTCTCTGAAACTGGATCTGAACTAAGATCGATCTTACCTTCTCACCGTACGAGATAGAAGGGGAATCCTGTGTCGCCATTTGACTCAAACCTCAACTCAAAGCAAACAAAAGAAAGTATTATCAGGGTGGAGACCATGCCCCAGATAGAAACAATTCTCTGAAACGAGATCCTAGTGCTACAACATAAAAAACTGTGAAAGAATACCGTCAGATCCCTTGTTATAGGAATTTCTTTGATAGATATCACCTGGAATTCCGGGTACCGTGCAATCTGGTTTTGCAAGTACTGTTTGCAGCGTGCAGTTCTCGTCAACTTTCACCCAATATTTACGCAGATCTAGAAAGACTTGCACATTTAGTTTTGTCAGCAATCCAGCTTTACCTGTTTCTTTTGTTTCATCCTGGTCAAAATCATCTGTGTGATCTAGCATTGATCTCAAAGCTGCTTTTCTTGATAACGGTGCAACAGCGTTTGCCTGATTGTCCAAATGTAACAGCAGCTTTAAGAAAACAAACAAAGCAGACCTGGTAATATAGTTCAATACGATCCCTTGTGTATTCGTGCTTCTCATCCCAAGGAAGGGAAGCATCTCCAAACATCTAATTTCACGGGAAAAAACTGTAAGAACGAGGATGTGATAGTTAAAAGAATACTCTTTGCAAGTGAGGTTTGAACTTGTCGAACTCCATGAAGTCCTCAATCAAGTCGCTCGACATGACTTCCCCATATAGCAGCAAAACAGGCCAGTGTAGAACATTGCTAGTGTCTAGCCAAGGCTTCTTGGCACCACAGAGCTCTTTGTACAAGTGACTCCCCAGCTTGACGTGCCTTTGCTCTAAACAAGTGACAAAGTCCTGGACAATCAAACAAGTGAGAAATCAAAACACAATGAGAGCTTTCTCACCTCTGCCTCCTTGACATGAATCTTACGTTCGTTCGACCTTTTCAATCTAGTTTCTGCCTGATCCTTCAAGTTTCTAAGCTCCAGGTTGTGAGGTTCCACGTCCAAAGCTTTTGTACAAAGCTGGGAAGCTCGTTCGAGCAAATCAAGCTCCAGCGCGGCCTTGGAGCCACGAAAGTAGGCCTGCCAAGCAAGAGATAAGTGCAACCACCAACCATCATCAATCACTGTACCAGAGTACCTTCACATTCGTAGGATTGAGCTCAATCGCTTGCTCGGCATCGTTCAATGCGCGCCTATAATTCCCCAGCAGCAAATTCACATGCGCCCTGTTCGCAAAGAGCACCGAGTTTTGCAATGGATCATCAATCCTCTGCTCGATCGCGCGTGTGTAGCAGTCCACAGCATCCTTGTACCCGGACTTCCCTTTCTTCACACACGCATTTCCCTGCTCCTATGGACGATCGAACTAAAATCTCAAATCCTCGCAAACTCGAACAAAGAAGACAATGCATCCTACCCTGAGCTCCAATACGGCGGTCTCGCGAAGCGCATCGATCGCGGCCAAGTCGTTCCTCTCCTCGTCGCTCAGCGCCTCGCCGCGGCCCTGGAACAAGAGCGCCATAGCCAGGCAAAATATTTCCAACCCCTAAACCCTAAAACACGAAAACCATTGAGCCAAGAATTTGTCTTTGATGGAAGTTAGTAAAGGAAGAAAGAAAGAACCATTGACAATTTGTGATTCCTACGCTCTCCCTCTTTTCCCCTAAAGAACTCCTACAGCTAAAATCTGATGTACACATATCAAACCCATTCTCTTCTAGTCATCATCCTCGTCCTCCTCTTCATTCTGGAAAAAAACTATGTGTTAGATCACAAAATCGCACAAGATCACGCGCAAAATCATAGAAGTTCTACCTCAGCACTGCCTTCTTCCTCGTTTTCCTTCGAATCTTCTTGCTCCTCGTCATCCTGACAAGGACGAGACGACCGAAGTCGAGAAAACTGCAAAGATTCGTCAAAAATCTTACTTGTTTCTTCTTGTAAGCGGCCATGGACTCGGCGTAATCGGCCCGGAGCTGGGCGGCCTTGTTGACGTACACGGCCTTTTCCTGGAAGATCAAACAGTGGAGATCAGATCACTGCGAAGAAAGAAAAAATGGAGAACAAAGAATACTCACACTTTCGCTCATCTTACTCCACTTATCACCAGCGGCCTTTCCAACCTGCGAGGGAAGAGTGAGCGTCAAGAGAAGTTTTTCGAAACACTCAAGGAAGAGAAAAGAGGTCTACCGCTGCGACGCCTTTGACATCCGGATGATCTTCCTTGTACTGTTGCCGAAAGCTTTCCCTGTGAAAAAAGAGAACTTGAGAACTCGAATCGAATCCAAAGCGTGGAAGAGCGAAAAAACTTACAGGAAGACGAAGAATGCCGTGGGGGGACGCTTTGGGAGATTGGGGTCCTTGCTCGCCTTCTTTTCCTTCTTCTTTTGCTTCTTGGTGGCCTTCCCGTCCTTCACAGCGAGCTTCTTCCTGGCAAGGAAAGAAAAAAAGAGAGCATCAGTGATCACACCCCTGGAGAAGAAGAACAAGGAAAAAAATCGCCTACTCTTTCTCAGGCTTCGCGTCCTTGCCGTCCTTCTTCTTTGTCGAGCCCAAAGGCCGCCCTCGTCCCCTGGTACTGGCCTCTTTCATCTTGAAAGCTCGACAGCCGCGATCTACAAGCAACCGAGAAAAAAACGATCCAGCTCCATCAAAACCGCGACGATTTGAGGACATTTCTCTCGATCTTGGAGGAGAAAAAAGCTCCAGCAAAAACGGGAGGAAGAAACCCACCTCAAAGCGAAACCGAGCGAAAAAACGATGAGCTGCTGCGTGGAAGACACAAAGACGAAGACGATCACAGCACAAACCCAAGCTGCTCAAACGCCGCCATAGCCACGCCGCAAGAGGAGAGAGCGAGGGAGACGCTAAGAACAAAGAAGAGAGATGAGGGTTTGGCAGCGAAGGAGGCCCGTGTATGACGGGCACGAGTGACGAGCCTGCCCGTCGCCGGCGACGGGCAGCGCATTGCTGGCAACGCCTGGGGCGCTGGATGGCCCCAAGCAACGGTCCGATCCGGGGTCCTGGCAGGGAGATTTTTTGCCTTCACTCTCGCTATAAAAACCGGCCGTTGATCCCCCCAGCGCATGGACACCTTGAAGTGTTTCCTAGCCCTTCAGATTTATGTAAGCGCCACCGGCTGTAGCCGGTCACCATCGGCGGGCTTTCAAAATGGGCTTTACCCGGAGGTTTAAGAGTAGCCGGTGGACGCGACCGGCTGGCCGGAGCTTTATTTGGATGTGAAATCGAGAGCACAACAAAAGTGGCGGGAAGAAATGCGCGCCATCTCGCGTTACAAAAATTTGATTTTATTTCTCTCTCTTCTCTTCGCGGAAAAGATTCCCATGGCATATCCGGCTAATCTTTCTACTTAGCCAAATTGTTTTCATCATCGTCGTGATAGAGATAGAGTGGTTCTATCTTTTTATATAGTTCTTCGCTGCTCGAGCTCGTCTAATCCATTTCCATCGATCGAATGGAGGAAGAAAAAAAAATCTCTCCCACTTCCTCTCACGCTTTACAGTGATCGCGCTCCGCCACCTTGCCGTTCTTCGTGGAGTGGTGACCCCGGAACGAAAACCCAAGCCGTCGCTGCCATGAATTCGCAGCGCTCGCATTCGTCCCGGGATGATTCGAGTTGGAGCAACTTAGACCCTGCTGCTGGTGATGATCCTGCTCGTGATCCACAAAAACAGCCGACTCCATCTCGATCTGGGCGATTCGCACAGTCCCTAGCAATCTCTCCGGGAGCTCCTCCTCGGCCTGCGACTCTACCAAGAATCCCATATCTACAACCACGGAGCTAACGTAGCCTAGAGCCAAGTGGAGGATGTAAGTCGCGACTGTGGACGATCCGATATCAACGTCGATCTCCAGATAGTTCGGGCCCCGGATGTAGTGACAAGTGAGAGCTTTCCCGAGCAAGCAAGCCGCGTGATTCCCCACAGTGGCCTTGACGATCCAGGGACCACGAACGATCCTGTTGATGAGCTTGAATCTACTGTTCCGGAACCCATCATCTTCGTGGATGAATCTGTAGAGCAGCGACCCCGGTGCGATTGGATCGTCGGTGGCGTAGTAGAACACGGCGCTGTAGTTCTCCTTCCCTGGAACTTGCAAGTTGACGGCGAAGACGAAGGACTTGAGACCCTCCCTCTGTGCCTGCGCTAGATCTAGAGCTCGCCTGACCCTGTTGTCCGGGCGGGCGAGGACGTGATCCAGCTTCCCGTGCGATCGAAGCCAATCCACGCCCAGTGGCTTCATCACGCACTCGCCCGCCGCGGCCTTGACCCTCTTGGCGAAGTAATTGTGGCCACGAACCTGGAATGCGCTGCCGGGAGGCGCCGCCCAGCCATTCGTGCCGGCGTCGAGATCTACGATCTCGCGCAGCGATCCGCCGCTCCTCACGCCCGCCTTCCAATCCCTAATCTCGCCGCGGCGGCGCTCCTCCTCGCCGCGGGATTCTTGCGTAACCCCGGTCATGGCGAGGGCGAGGCGAAATTCCCAGATTTCCAGCCGCCGCGCTACATCCTAGAGCAAGATCAAGGAAAAAAGAGTGATGGATTGGAATCGCTGGGCGCCGAGGTGAATCAAACAACGCACCTCTTGACGTGCATTCCCATTGGCGCCCCGGAAGAAGAACCCTAGTCGCTTGTTAAGGAGCCCTTGGCTCTGGCCGGGATCCCAATGTGCTGCCACGTCATTGACACGTCATAACAGATCCCAGTGACGTCAGCACATTTCAAACAAAAGAGTCCATGGAAGATCGAGCAAATAGATGGAAGAGAAGAAGGCTAGGGTTCTTGTGACCGGAGGGAGCGGCTTCCTTGGCGGAGCTCTCATCCGCGCGTTGCTGCGGTCCGGTCGCTACGAAATACGCGCGCTGGTGAGGAGGATCGGCAGCGTCGCCGCGGATTTCGATCCGGAGCTGCTCTCCGGCGGGCTGGAATTCGTCGCTGGCGATGTCTTGGATCTCGAATCGCTCGTCCGTGCCTGCGATGGCTGCCAGGCCGTAATCCATGTCGCGGCATACGTCAAGAGCTGGGCACCGGATCCCGCGCGCTTCTTTCAGGTATGGCTTAGGGCGCGGGATTGTCGCTGGTGATCGAAATTTCGAAATTTCCTTCAGGTCAATGTGGGAGGCCTCAAGAATGTGATCGAAGCTGTCAAGGCTACCGCATCGATCACAAAGCTCGTCTACACGTCCTCGTTCTTTGCTCTCGGGCCATCGAAATATGGTGAAGTTGCCGATGAACAGCAGGTTTGTCTTCCCTTATCTCACCACAATTTTTTCATTTCTTCTCGCTCCAGGTCCATTCCGGGAAGAACTTTTGCACAGAGTATGAGAGATCCAAGCTGGAAGCCGATATAGTCGCACGGAATTCCGAGGTGCCTATAGTTCTTCTCTACCCGGGAGTGATATATGGATCCGGACGAATCACTCGAGGCAACATCATCGCGGACATTGTAAGTTCTTCGCAAACGATTCACACTCGTGAAGATGCAAAGACTTTCTCCATTTTGCAGCTCATAGAACGGTTCAACTGGCGTCTACCCGGCTACATCGGATTCGGGCATGACAAGTTCTCGTTTTGTCACGTCGAGGACGTTGCTGCCGGGCACATCGCAGCGCTCGAGAAAGGTGCTCCCGGCGAGAGATTCATCCTCGGCGGCCCAAACAAATCCCTCGAGGACGTGTTTAACATCTCCGCGAGCTTGACAGGCACCAGAAGGCCGTGGTTCCACATACCACTCTGGTTAGTCTACGTCTATGGCTACGTCTCGACCGTCTTTGCTCGGATCACTGGCGTAGAGCCTGTTGTGACGCATCCGGTAAGTCTTCCAAATCATCCTTTCCACCTCTCGATCTAAGCTTTGATCTTCCAGGCAGTCTTGGTGATAAAGCAGCAATGGGCCTACTCGAGTGCCAAAGCCGAGAGACTCCTGGGCTACAAACCAAGATCTCTGGAAGACGGACTGGCGGAAATGCTCGTCTTTCTCAAAGACAGGCAGCTCATTACGTACTGAAAATCTGGAGACAAAGCCATTAACGGAAACAAAACCATGGACATATCGAAACAAGAAAATTTGCGTCGATCTAAGCTGCGTACTTACTTCACGACGATATCGCTCCCGCCAAAACCAATCCTGTTGTGCGTGGGTGGATCACAAGCCCACCCATTTCACCTTGGAGAACAGCTTCCTTCCAACCGGGAGCCCGTAATCCTTGACAACCGCCGGTTCGTTGCGAGCACTCCGAGGACGGCACCAAATGTAAACACCTCTCTCTTGTCGGCTGCCCGGAACGGTGTTGTCCAACACGAACGCCACCAGGAACGCAATCACCATATGCATCGAGAGCACCGAGTTGAGCACGAAATTCGCCTGAAAGGATGGGTAAGAACTTAGAGAAGATCTCTCGAGTTTGCTTTACCCCGTGGTTCTTCGTCTTGACGGGGCCGTGCTGAGCGACCGCATAAGGTTGAAAGTAAGGCTCAGTCACTGCATTTACCGCTGCGTTGCCATACTGCTGGAAGTAGGCGGGCACTGACAAGGCAGTGAACAGGGAGAGGCCCACGATAAGTACGTTCCGGGAGCTTCCAGTCTCGCTGTATCGTAAGTTAGACAAGCCGAGAGCTGTCAAGAGGGTCCACATGAAAGCCAGGAGCCCGGCCACAATAACAGTCGGAATTGAGGCAATGAATGCTCCTACTTTGCCTGCAAATATCACAAGGGGCGAATAGAAAAATCCAGGATATCAGCAACACAGCCAAATTCACAGGCCTGAAAAGAAGGAATGCCAGGAAGAACTCACCAACTAAAGCGAGGATGATCAAGACGCAAGCTCCAAATTCGACAGCTCGCCGGCTTCCCATCTTCGTGACAGCTATCGTATGCACATTTTCGGTTAATGTCGTTGCCCCGGCTCCAGTTCCAAATATCCCAGCCAAAGCACTGGTTATCCCCTCCAAGCCAATGCTTCTGCTGACCACCCCTGGAGATGGAGCCCGGGAAGCAACCAGCAACGAAGTCGCATGATAAGTTCCTACCTGGAATCCAACAATGTCAAAACAAATATATCAGCACCACCAAAGAGCACTGACCGAATCCACGGTTGCGATTATCGACGCGGCCATCATCACGAGCCCCGTTTTAAAGCTGAAGCGTGGTGCGCCCCATTGCAGTGGATACGGAAAGCGAAACCAGGCTGCGTCTTTCAAAGCCGTGGAAACATCTGTCCTGCAGTGTTTCATAGTGAAAACATGTCGTTGACATGCCGCTGACGGTGGTAGTTTCATATTGCATCCTTTGTAGTTGTATGCTCCCGTCTCGGTTAGTAAGAAAGCATACGCCCAGATGATACCAAGTCCCAGGGGCACCTGTGGAGCCAAGATGAAGTTCAGTTGCAAGTTTCTTTGTCCAGACGTACCGCATAAACTTGAAAAACTCGGTGCCCGAAGACAGATATTTTTCGCAGGTACTGCATACACAGAGCGCACGGCCGTTAGTAGCAATGTCCAGCAAGCCGAGATTTGGACTCACCAGAGCAAAGAAAAGTACGATCAGTAGCTGTGGAAGACCAATCTCGACACAGGTTCCAACCACGGGAAAAGCATAGCTGAAAAATGCCAAGCCTATCGCAGCAACAGTTGGTGCAACAACCACCGGATTGATCACCCTGCAAAACATTCGGTCAGACTCAACTTAACGACATGGCTGGCTGAGACGCTAGATATACCTGAGGATGATAGACATAAGGCCAGTATAGCCCACGACCATTTGGAACACCGAAGAAATAATGACAGCTCCTTGCAATTCCCTCATTATATGTTTGAATCTCTGTAAAACAAAGACAACGTCACAGAGTCTCGACGAGAAAGTTGATTTTACTTACATTCTGGCGTACGCTAGAAAACTCCGGAGAATGAATGATAGTCAGAATTGGAGCCAGATATGCGAATGATGCGCCTTGCACCAGAGGCAACCTCGAACCGAAAAACGAGTGCAACAAAGTTGTGATCCCAGTGACCAGGAGCATAGTAGAGACAACTTTAGCGACATCTTCCTAGACAACAAAAGATCACACGCATTAATACAGCAAGAAGAAAACCATCTCACGAGCTTACGTTGCTTCCGCCCATGGCTGGCACAAAGATTAAAGGCGTAAGGACAAGCGATCCAACAATGGAGAAGTAGTGTTGCAATCCATACAAAATTAACGGAACTGCAAGTACAAGTTAGTAGCGGAGTACATGATCAGCAAAGAAAAAAAGAAATGAATCCCGAAGGAAACTCACCTAGTCCCGGAGTCTCTCTGATCTCATACTTCATATGAGATTGTTTCGCCATGAGGACATCGTCCATGTCTTGCTGAGAACCCATGTCAACCTCCGAGTCTCTATAGTGTCCACGAAGCTGGCCACTGCTTTGCTGGACGCCGCTCACATTCTCCGAGTCAATCCCTCCGGTCCCTCTCTTTGAGCTCACGGGAGGGGTGTAAACTTTCGTCGGTGTAGCGCCTGGATCCTTGGCAGCGCTCCCATTCTCCACCGGCGTTCTGGGAGCAGCACCGCCACTAAGATCTGCCGAATTGGGGGCCTTGAGATGCAATGTAGCATCAGCATTGCTCACATCCGTGTCGCTGATGGTGCTGGCCGCGCTCTCGCCGGACATGTTGCTCCGGAATCCTGTTCTTCGGGCCCATGATCCCATCGTCCTGGGATTCTGATTGCCACCGGCGTCCATCCTCGGCGGCCAGGGTCCGGGTCTTCTACCTAGGGAAGGGGACTCTGGATCATGATGATCTTGAGCCCTCGATGGCGGCGAAGACGTCCCAAGCCCCGCTGGAGGAGGAAGAGGCATAATATCTTGATTCTAGCTCGCTGCGATGCCCCGACACCGCGCTTCTACCACCAAGAACCGATCAAACCAGCGCTCTAGAGGCCGGATTCACGCCTGGAAACGCAAATGCCATACCAGATCCGCCGCTTCCCCATCGCCGAGCTCGATAGCTCCTGCCAGAATCCACACGACAGCGGCCGCGTCGCCATCGATCGGGCGCCTCCAGTCAGGGATCCGGCTCCTCGATCCGGAAAGAAGCCACATTCTTTGGGCGCGCAGCGGCGTCCATAGCCAAAACCTCGCCCTCCAAGAACACAAGAATGAGATGAGAAGAAGCTACTAAAGGTGTATAGTGTAGAAACGAAGCAAGGCCTTTTTTCACGTTAACTGTACTGGGCTTTTGACTGGCTGGTTATTACCTGGGCGGTAACTTATCTCGGTCCGTTGTGCCGACAGCGAAGTTCTCCATAGCCACAAGCAATCCCGGCCGTCCGATATTCCTCAGAGAATATACTATTTGAACCTGTCCCGACCGTCCGATCAAAGCTTAGAGATGGTTCTACCTAGGGTTTATCATTTGGGAATGGCGGGATAGCGCAGACGATGAATGCGCTGAGGTACGAGTAGGATTGGAAGCGCGAGATTTCTTTCTGGATCCAGGAATTTGAGCGCCAGGCCGGGATGGAGAAGATTTGGTGCCTCGGCGGCATTCTTTTGCTGGTATCGACCTGTGCTGGCGTCTCATTCCACGCCACGCTGCATCGCAGCGATGCGGTATTGACGACTGATGCGCATTGGTACACACAGACTCTGGATCACTACGCGACTCAAGCAAGAATTCTTTTTGTTTGTTCTTCGAGAGATTGGAATTTTACATTGCTCGATATTTACAGGACGATAGAACTTTTGCTCAACGTTACTATGAGTTTACGGACTACTTCGATGCTCCCAACGGGCCAGTGTTTCTCAAGATATGTGGCGAGGGACCGTGTGTAGGGATCCAAAACGATTACAGTGCGGTAAGAAAAGCATTTTGCTCGATTGAATTGGATCGCTTTCCTTACCTGCGGTATCAAGGTGCTAGCGAAAAGATTTGGAGCCGCGATTGTTTCTCTGGAACACCGATACTATGGACAAAGCTCGCCATTCAAATCTCACGCGACAGAGAACTTGATTTATCTATCTTCCAAGCAGGCTCTTTTCGATCTCGCAGCATTTCGTGAATACTACCAGGTGGCAGCTATTTTATATAGGTTCACGACTTGAATGACGCTGTGTTGCAGGACCTGATTAATCATAGGACCAACTCTACCAGCGACAATCCTTGGATTGTAATGGGAGGGTCATACTCTGGAGCATTGAGTGCCTGGTTTAAGCTGAAGTTTCCACATTTAGCGGTTGGAAGCGTTGCAAGCTCTGGTGTTGTCCAAGCAATTTTCAAGTTCACTAAGTTCGACGAGCAGGCAAAACTCTTTCTCGTTTTTATCTTGATTTTATTTTTAAGCGTTCGTATACACCTACAGGTTGCCGAATCCGCTGGCGCTACCTGTAGCGCTGCTTTGCGTGCCGTGACCCGTTTAGCAGAACAAGGCCTGAAGGAAAATTCTGTTTCTACGAAAGCCTTGTTCAATGCTGAACAGGTAACCTCTGGTCAGTTATAGAGCTCACGCCAAGTAAACTTTGCAGCTTGATGTGGATGGAGATTTCTTGTATTTCCTAGCTGATGCTGCGGCGATTGCGGTATGTCTAGTCCTTCACTCTGCCGCCTGATATTTTCTTTTCCTGCGCAGTTTCAGTATGGTAATCCAGATATCTTGTGTTCGCCACTTGTTGCTGCGTATAAACGTAACGAGGATCTACTGGTATGTGCGTGAAAGTGATGCCGCTGCAGATAATTTTCTTGTCATTCAGGCTGTGTATGCGAAGTATGTCAAAGATTACTACATAGACACATTTAAATCGAGCATCAATACTTATGATCAAAAGCACTTGAAAGAAAACTTGGCTGCAGGAGATCATTCGAGTAAGTCTACCGTTGAGCTTGAGTTTTTGCTGATGGTCTGCTTGTAGGTGATAGATTATGGTGGTACCAAGTGTGCACCGAAGTAGCGTACTTTCAAGCGGCGCCTGCAAACAATAGCATTCGCTCTGCTCTCGTCAATGTCAAGTACGTACTCATAAGCTGTGTCATCTTATCCAATGTCCTCCTGCTTGTGCAGGTACCATTTGGATTTATGCTCCAACGTCTTCGGGAACGGCACATTCCCAGAAGTCGATAACACGAACCTTTACTACGGGGGAAACAAGATCAGAGGTATTTCCAGTTGATGTTGTCCGTTGGCAGTCATCATTCATCCTTTGTTTGTCGTAGGAGATAAGATCTTGTTCATGAACGGTTCCCAAGATCCTTGGCGTCATGCCTCCAAGCAAACTTCTTCGCGTAATGGTAAGGGAGCCATCATAAGCTATGTCGTCTCAAATCAGCGTTGATACATTTGCAGAGCCTGCATATGTGATCAAGTGTCAGAACTGCGCTCATTGTGTTGATATGCGAGGCTGTCCGCAGACCCCGCTTCAAATCGGAGGTAAACCATGGCTTATGTTTACTCGCATTTGATGGCATGTATATATCCTTGCAGGAAACACCTCGAAATGTGCCGACCCGGAGGCTGCACAAGCGGGTCAGCAGCTCGTAGCCACTTACATCTCCCGCTGGCTCGAAGACGCGAATGGCTCTGTAAAGTACATGTAGATGGTAAGTGTTTGGCCTCTCAAGATGGATTTCCCTTTCATAGTTTTTACATCGTTGCAGGCACCCTTCAAGGTAGCTTTCGATTAGCGAAGGTGATGCAAAGTTCAGGTCATCGTATACTTTTGTCTGATCTCGGGTGGTTTCCAGATTCACGCAAAAATCTCGCTGGTCAAAAATCCGATGCTACATCTATGGTATGGCGTAACACAAGGTACTTTGGATTTCCTACCTGTTTAGCTTTTGTCTTGTTTCGTTTTTTTCCTGCATTCTACAACTATTGTCTATGGTTTTTCTAATCGCATGGTATAAAATGCTTATCTGTGAGGTGCGTGTGGGGGTATGTGTGTGTGTGTTTCTCTACTGGTATTCTTTGTCCATGATCCAACCATTCCTTCCCAGCGTCAGCTCTAAAACTTTTTTCTTTGGTTCCCTTTTTCTTGCCACTCTTTGTTTTCTCTTTGATCCTACACGCCTGGGCCTCCCTCCTTGTTGGCTTCGTTGTCCTCCAGATGCGCATGGCTGCTCATGATCGCTTAAATTCAACAAGTGGTCATAATCCTTTTTTTTTCTCGCTCTCTCTCTTCCTCCGACAAAAGCTCGAGAAGAAACCATTTTTTGGCCGTGGTCAGCTTACTCACTTGCTTGTCCACTTTTCATTCGAAGGGCGGCTTTCAGTAAAAGATTATTCTTATGTGACTGTTTGCTTTGATCATGAAGTATACTAATCGAGGCTCTCCCTTTTTTTCTCTTCCAGACATTCACCGCATTCGCAAAAAAAGAAAGAGAAGCTTTTCGCTCCAGTCTGTGGGTGAGATCACTGCGTCCTTTTTGTTAGAGTTTTCAGCACCTCTTCGTTGGCCGCGTGAGATCATGAGAGAAAACAAGTGATTTCCTCGATACTTTCTTGTCAGGGGGGGCGCTCCATATAAGCCGAGCTTGGAGAGAAATCCTCGAGAGTTTAGAATTGGAACTCGCAAGAACAGCAATAACAGCCTTCTTTCCAGCAACTTGGGCTCTCGTTTTCTTTTTTTCTTGCAAGTACGATCGCTGTTTCTGCCAATTGCAAGTTTAAAATCTGGGAAAACTTCTGGCTGGTTGAATCAGGGACAGGGTTGCAGTGGCCTTGGCAGACAAGAGCAATCGAGCAAAGATCATCCTTTTTGTACGATTGGATTTTCATCGCTTTGGTCTTTTCGATCGCTTTGATCCATTTGGCATGGAGATGGAGCACGAGGACTTCGCAGGATCGCAGTTTTGCTCCATCTGGGAGAGCTTCTCTTCCGACGAGTGTGGATCTGGAGCCTCCTCTCTCAATCTTCCCGAGCTTTGCAACAGCCCGGATCACAACGACAATGGCTCCTGGCTGCCTCCTCCTCCCTCTTCCCAGATTTTCCATTCCAAGCCAGCCACAGCGTTGGCTCTTGACAATCACCACCACCACCATCAAAACTTGGACAGGATCATCGATTCCTTCCCTTCTCCTTCCACTTCTTCGTCTCACCACCACACTCTCATCAGCTCTCCCGACTCGCCACTCGTGTTTAACTTCCTCCTCCCGCAACACCAGCACACTTCTAGCTCCATCCAGTTTGGATTTCCTCCAGTCCAGCTCCTCCAATCTCCCGAGGAGGTAATTCCCAGCAAGCCATGCGTGAGAACACCACCACCCAAGAGCTCCAAAGCTTCTTCTTCCAGCTCTCTCAATCAAAACTCCTCGAGTTCTTCCATGGCTGTATTGGAGAATCACTGCGCGAGGATCAAAAAGGAGCGGGCCGAGGTGCAAGACGAGAATTGCCCGGCCTGGAAGAAAAAGTGCCTGGTAAGTTCTCTTGCGATCTTAGTCCGTTCTTTCTCGGGTAGAAAAGCTTGTCTATTTCCTTTCTTTCTCGAGGAGAATTCGTCTCATGACACAACTCTTAGATGGTTCTTTCTTTCGAGAGTTTATTCGCATTCATCTTGTCATTCTTTCTTAGTTTCTCAAACTCTCGCACCTCCATTCTTTCTCTAGGAGAATTCTCTTGTGCGAGTCTCTTGGCATAGAACTCTTAGATGGTTCTTTCTTTAGAGAGTTTCTTCACATTCATCTTGTCATTCTTTCGCGAGTTTCTTCATCATCGTCTCAATCTCTCGCTGCAGGAATCGAGGGGCTTGGAATCTCGGACAAAGTCATCAGTAACATTGTCAGCGCCCGAGGAGAGCAGCACAGTTACCTCAGCGCTTGGACCAGCTCTAAACACCGACGGAAAGCCACGCGCAAAGCGTGGATCTGCCACGGACCCGCAAAGTATCTACGCTCGGGTAAAATCTCTCAATCCAGAAACAAATAAAAAACTTCTTACTCGTCTCAAGTCGTGTTCATGCTCTTCATTCCCTGTGTCTCTTTTGCTTCGTCTTCTAACGTTTTTACTCTTGGTTTTTCGCTGCCAGCAAAGAAGAGAAAGGATCAACGAGCGTTTGAGAGCGCTACAAGGACTCGTACCAAACGGAGCGAAGGTGGGTCTCTTTGGCCATTCCTTCACGTAAGCTTTTGGAGATGGATATTGAGCGATTGACTTTGTGCTCCAGGTTGACATTGTGACGATGCTCGAGGAAGCCATCAACTATGTCAAGTTTTTGCAGCTGCAAGTAAAGGTCATGCGTGATCAATATGGAGAAACAAAAAAAAAAGACTAAACTTGTCAACTTTGCTTCCCTTTCTTCGCAGCTGCTCAGCTCGGACGAGTATTGGATGTACGCCCCCACAAATTACAACGGGATGAATATCTCCCTTGGAATGCACCTCAACATGCAGTCATACCTCAAGATCAAGGAAAACGTTAGCAGCTAGAGACGAGGAGAAACAAAAGAGCAAAAGCTTACACAACTTCGAAGTCATTCTTTTCCTCCTGTTTTTTTCCCCGGGTTCCGAAGAAACCACGAGAATACATTCTTATTTTTGCTTCCAGGCCACCACCTGGAAGTTTCATTCATCTGCCAAGAGTGAAACAAGCAATCAAAAGAAATAAAAGCTGGATTACGAAATGGACTCCCGATGGTGTCATATCTCGGTTGTTAGAGAGAAGTTACAAAGTCACCCTCGAAGCCATGCGTTTCTGAAGGACGAGTTGTCTCGCAAGGAAGCGTCGTGTGGTTTGTACTCCATCACGTAACTGGTGGGGAGATGGAGGTGCCGCTTGATGGAATCGCGAAGAGCCATCACAGCCTGTAAACACAAGTAAGCACGACTGTGGAGAAGAACAGCGAAGCAGACAGTAAACCATACCTGATTATCAGACGCGTTCCTATTCCAGACGCTCAAAATGTCCTCCCCGAAACGAATGCTCAGCACCGCTCCACAGACGCTGTCACTGTAGTCGAGTTGATCTCCGATCATTGCGAGCACCTGTGAGAATAAAAAAAACATTTTTAGCCGGTCACAAACTTGAGAAGTGAGTAACAAAAAAGAGAGAGAAAGAATGACTATACCAAGTCCTCCCAGAATCGACCGGATACGATCTTCTTAAAGCGAACAATCCATTTTCCACCGTTTCGATTTGCAGTATCCTGACGAGAGAGAGAAAATAAAGGACTGTATCTAAGAAAAAAAAGGATGGACCGAGAAATTCTATACCTCCCACAGTGGTCTTATTCCCTCTTTGAAGAGATGAAAGTCAGTGGGATTTGGACAATTGGATGGCCTCGAGAGATGGCAGTAGCAGCTCCAAAATCCCTCAACCTGATCAAGAAAAACCATAAGAGAAGAAACCAAAAAAAAAAAAAGGGATAGGACTACTCACAGTGCTAAACTCAGCGATCTTCTTCATACTGTCCTCATAAGAAATATGAGAGCGCACGCCCGGAGTCCTCCTCGTGTACCAAAACACAAAGCGTTGCTGCACGGCAAACAATCAAACCAATGGCGCTCAATCGCGATGGATCGATCGAGCGGCACAAGAGGAGTACCTGGAGCGGATGCAAGCCGGCGCGAATGTGGCGCTCCTTGTCATCGGCGTCGCGCAATCGACGAAGCTCCTCCTCGTCGCTACTCCCTTCCAGCGCCATTTTTAGGGTTTATCGCCTTATGATCTTTGTTAAAGAGCTCTAAATGTTACTTAAAAGTATGGTAAATTTAATCACATAATTGAAACCCTTTAACTGGACCTTTTAGGACTTCACTGGAAAGATTCTCGATCATAGTTTCAGAGACTTTTCCTCGCAGGTGTACAAGAATGATATCGCGCTCAAATTTTTGGTCGTCGATCCGAAGGAGACCAAGCACACTTGAGTTACTTCCTCTCACAGGCATCTCTTTAGAGTGCATGTCTTTCTAGCGGATCCTCGGCGGGAGCGTCTTCGTGAAGATAGAGGAGCTATCCCAGCTTGTTTGTGTGGACGAGATTCATGGAAACGCGCTACTAGCGGCTTAGTGCCGGTTGAGTTGGACAACAACCGAGACAACTCGGTGTTTGCCTTGTGTGGAGGAAAGCGAGACGTCACAGACAGAAGGATCTCCAAGAGTGATCTTCCTCATTTCAGCGCTGAATGGCCTGTTAGGGACCGAACTTTTAAGGTCCTGCCGCGATGCCAAGGATCTTTCCCAGGCCATGAGTGTACAGGCTTCCATCGTGCCATCAAGCTACGAGCTCGATCGCTACTCTGTTGTTTTTCGCAAGGGTTGAATACATCGTGGCATCCTGCATTGCAGCTCTGGATGCGCTCTAATCCTGGTGTAAGATTTCTCTAAGAAAAGGAGGTATTTTGCTTGCTTGATCCATGAAATGGTCTCAAGCTCGTTTGTGATGCATTTTGCTAGAATGGAGACTTTTTTTAAAGAAGTTTTTAGTTAGCTATGCTTGTGGTTAAGTTCACACAAGCAAAGTTTGCTGTTTAGAAAGTATTTCCTCGGAAAAGCTCTTTCGTTTTCCCAGAAAACGTGCTTTCTTTTTCCAGGGTCCAAATTCCGACATGTTTGGCATGGTAGAAAACAGTAAGCATTTCGATCAAGTCGGTTCCACATTCTTTTATCTTTTTTCTCTTTGCGTATCTCATATTGTTTATCCCAGGAAGTCAAAAGTTTGGAAGAAGTATCCGAAACAGGTGCCTCCTAAATAAACTGTCGTGCACGCTCGACTGAAGATCCCGAAAGAGTTGAGGCGAGTTGACGTATAAAGATCAGTGCTTGAAAGCTCGTCAATCTTACCCCCGCGGAAAGCAAAAGGTAAGCACTTCCATTGAAAAGGAGAGGGCTTTGTTTTTCTTCTTCGCAATAGGCGTTGCAAGCGAGAGCAGTGTCGCAGATGAAGCAGGCGCTGCTCCAGACGCTTCGATCAAGCAAAGTCTTTCGAACCCCACCAGCTTGCTGCTCCGGATCGCAACTGTAGTCCTGTGCGTCGCGTTTCTTGTCAGTAGGAAGAAGATCACCTCGTTGCCAGATGGGAAAGCGTTGATATAAAGTTGGCTTTTACTTGTTTATCCATTTTCCAAGTTAAAGATTGTTTAGTTTCTTATCTTTTTTCACAGATTTCGAGTGAAATGTGTCTCGGCTATTCGCACCAGTGTTCCTGGTCATGCTATATATCGAAATCTCTAGCATGGAAGAAAGCTCTCGACTGGATGGTGTTCTTTTCAGACCAGGTAGTCTATTCTTTTGTTCCCTAAATGTTGATTCAAGACAAAATGGTGCTGGGGAAGTTAGTTGAGACATTGGCTCTGAACTTGAGAAAGCCTGTGGAGAATTTAGCAGCTGAGCATAACAAGAGACGCATCATTCACTCGCTCTTCCCATTACTTTTTTTTTTTTTTTTTTGAGTTTATACAATTGGAATATGTGTTGCTTTCTAGATCCATGCTGGAGCCCGGAAAAACAGCGTTTGAGAAGGATCGATGTGGTAATGCGTTGAAAAAATTATCTCAATGAGATCTTAGAATCGAGGCTAATATATATCGTGTCAGATTAGCTAAAACAAAACGCGAGCAACTGCAAGACCAATATCCCGTTCTATGGGGAGCTACACCGAGAGTAACCTGTGGTGATCGCCCAAGGAGTGGAAGCTTTCGAGGATGCCAAGCGCGATCTTATTATCATAGATACGAGTGGGAGGCACAAGAAAGAGGCTGTTTTGTTCGAAGACTTGTTGATGCTACGAAACCAATCTTGATCGTTTTTGTGATGGATGGAAGCATTGGACAAGCTCTTGCTTGCTGATTGTAGCACATGTGATCATGGGATGAGATTTGGATATACTGTCACCGTGGATCCTTGGAACCTTGGGAGATAAATGGGGATAAAATAGCCACTAAAGGCTCTCTCATCAAGCAATTACCCCTTTTCCAGTTGGGTTAAGGGGAGAGAGATAAAAGGTGCGCTATAGTTGGTGCGCTACCCCTAAATTTGAAATCGTACGTATTGGGCATTCATGCGTATGTCTTTCCTCTTGTGTGGAGTATCCACGGACGAAAGTATCCACCGTGGGACTGCGGTACGGGTGGATGACTAGTTGCCTCACATGGAATAGCTAGTCTACACAATGGAAGGATGTGCGGAATGTTAGGATCCTATCCCTTACACCCTAAGCCAACTGGCTAAAGGGGTGATCACTTGATTGTAGGGCCTTTTCTTTATCCTATTATCCTGACCTGGTGCCTAACAATCCTCCCCCTCGTCAGGGAATGATCGTCCGCAATCATATTTAGGCCACCATCCGGTCACCATGGTCCTTCTCTTAGGGTCTACCAAACCTTGGTTCTCCCTCTAGATCCACCATGTTGAACATTCCTTCAAAATATTCTGCCCCACTCGTCAGCCACGAGAATCGAACTGGGCTCCGATACCAATGTTAGGATCCTATCCCTTACACCTTAAGCCAACTAGCTAAAGGGGTGATCACTTGATTGTAGGGCCCTTTCTTTATCCTATTATCCTGACCTGGTGCCTAACAATCCTCAAACAGCGGTGGAGTTGGGATTGAATTTGAGTAAGGACGTTCAAGATAAGCTTAATTCCGAGGCAACTGATCTGGCCACAGAACTTGATGAGATTCTGGTGGTGTGTAAACGGAATTTGCAAGCAGCTCAGGATAAAGCGGAGAAGTTTGCCAATGAGCATCGCCAATTCCGGGAATATAAGGTGGGTGATCTCGTCTTTGTACGAGTGATCTTTCCGTCAAGTGAGCGGCGGAACACCTTGGTGCCTTTACGGACAGGGAAAAGTGATAAACTTTCCCATCGATATGCTGGTCCATATGAAGTGTTGGAACGCATTGGTAAAGCAGCTTATCGGGTGCGGCTGCCAGTTGGGGTGAAAATTCATTCGGTATTTTATGTCAGCCAGTTGAAAGGTGTACTGTCTCGGAGTGACGGGCCCAATGCGTCCTTGATGTATACGGCTGTGGAAGATGGACCAAGAGCTTGAGCAGGATTCCCCAGAAAGGGTGATCACCGGTACAACTCGTCCTTGGGACAAGGACTTTGTTGGGGGGAAAGAATTGTTAGGTGCCAGCTTTGACTACGTGGTCAATGTCGGTCAAAGGGAGGCTCAAGGGTATATTAAGGCATGTTAGGGTAAGGGACTTAACCTACCCTAGGGCTCACAGTGGAGCGGCGGCGCAGTGGAGCTTTTGAGGTAGATTGGGGGTGGTTAGGTGGTGAGGAACCTCAAGAGGTGGTGTAGCATAGTCTAGGGCAACTAGATCTTTGTCTTTTTGCGTCGGATCATAACATTGGTATCAGAAACTGATTCCCCTTGGCTCAGTAGAGGTTATTACTCAATAGTCAATGAGGACATTGACATCTCTGAAGGGGGGGTGAGTGTAGCGCATGTGATCATGGGATGAGATTTGGATATACTGTCACCGTGGATCCTTGGAACCTTGGGAGATAAATGGGGATAAAATAGCCACTAAAAGCTCTCTCATCAAGCAATTGCCCCTTTTCCAGTTGGCTTAAGGGGAGAGAGATAAAGTGCGTTACACTGATCAAGCTCTTACGCTCTGCCCCTTTTCCAGTTGGCTTAAGGGGAGAGAGATAAAGTGTGCTACACTGATCAAGCTCTTACGCTCAAAGACAGTGCTTAAGTTGATGCTGTTATCATCACGAAGATGGTAATTGTGTGTAAGTATAGCCAATGGGCATATGGTTCTTGTTTATTGCTGCTCATAGATATCTAGAAGACAAGACGACATTTATATGGATATTCCATCCCTCGTTTAGGGAAAGTTTGCTTCATCAAGGATCTCTCTGTGTCCCAATGAAAGAAGTTTCCCAGATTTTAAACTTGCAATTGGAACAAACAGGGGTGTTCTCGATCCTTCTTGCAAGAGACAAAGAAAACGAGGAGAAAGAAAGCTGTTATTGCTGTTTCTAAACTCTCAAGAATTTCACTCCAAGCTCGGCTTATATGGACCGCCCTGACAAGAAAGTATCGAGGAAATCACTTGTAGCAGTGGGTTCTCTTCTTTTTGCAAAAAAAGAAAAAAAGGGAAGAAAAAAAGGAAGAACCTCGATTAATATAAAGCAAACAGTCATACAAGGATGAAAAAGTGAGTAAGATGACCAGCAAAAAATGGTTTTCTTCTTTCGGAGGAAAACAATGTGAAAACTATGAAAGGGAAATTCATCTTGAGAGGCCGGGATTTACATGTACTTTACAGAGCCATTTGCGTCTTCGAGCCAGCGGGAGATGTAAGTCGCTATGAGCCTCTGACCCGCTTGTGCAACCTCCGGGTCGGCACACTTGGAGGTGTTTCCTGCAAGGATATATACACGCGCCATCAAATGTGAGTAATGGAATCCATGGGTTTACCTCCGATTTGAGGCGGGGACTGCGGACAGCCTAGCATATCAACTCCATGAGCGCAGTTTTGACACTTAATCACATATGCGGGCTCTGCAATTGCATCAAAAGCTGATTTGAAACAACATAGCTTATGATGGCTCTCTTACCATTGCGGGAAGAAGTTTGCTTGGAGGCATGACGCCAAGGATCTTGGGAACCGTTCATGAACAAAATCTTATCTCCTACAACAAACAAAGGATGAATGATGACTGCCAACGGACACCATCAACTGGGAAATACCTCTGATCTTGTTTCCCCCGTAGTAAAGGTTCGTGTTATCGACTTCTGGGAATGTGCCGTTCTCGAAGACGTTGGAGCATAAATCCAAATGGTACCTGCACAAGCATCAGGACATGGGATAAGATGATACAGCTTGTGCTTACGTACTTAACATTGATGAGAGCAGAGCGAATGCTACTGTTTGCAGGCGCCACTTGAAAGTACCCCAATTCGGTGCACATTTGGTACCACCCTAATCTATCACCTACAAGCAGACCATCAGAAAAAACTCAAGCTCAACGGTAGACTTACTCGAATGATCTCCTGCAGCCAAGTTTTCTTTCAAGTGCTTTTGATCATAAGTATTGATGCTCGATTTCAATGTGTCTATGTAGTAATCTTTGACATACTTCGCATACACAGCCTGAACGACAAGAAAATTATCTGCAGCGGCATCACTTTCACGCACATACCAGTAGATCCTCGTTACGTTTATACGCAGCAACAAGTGGCGAACACAAGATTTCTGGATTACCATACTGAAACTGCGTAAGAAAAAGAAAATATCAGGTGGCAGAGTAAAGAACTAAATTATACCGCAGTGGTCGCAGCATCGGCTAGCAAATACAGGAAATCTCCATCCACGTCGAGCTGCAAAGTTTACTCGGCGTGAGATCTAAGACTGACCAGAAGTTACCTGTTCAGCATTGAACAATGCTTTCGTAGACATAGAGTTTTTCTTCAGGCCTTGTTCTGCTAAACGGGTCACGGCACGCAAAGCAGCGCTACAAGTAGCACCGGCGGATTCGGCAACCTGCAGGTGTATACGAACGCTTAGAGATAAAATCAAGGAAAAGATGGTAAAGGCTTTCCTGCTCGTCGAGCTTAGTGAACTCGAAAATTGCTTGGACAATACCAGAGCTTGCAACGCTTCCAACCGCTAAATGTGGAAACTTCAGCTTAAACCAGGCACTCAATGCTCCAGCGTATGACCATCCAATTACAATCCAAGGATTGTCGCTGGTAGAGTTGGTCCTATGATTAATCAGGTCCTGCAACACAGCCTCTATTCAAGTCGCGAAACTAGATAAAATAGCTGCCACCTGGTAGTATTCACGAAATGCTGCGAGATCGAAAAGAGCCTGCTTGGAAGATAGATAAATCAAGTTCTCTGTCGCGTGAGTTTTGAATGGCGAGCTCTGTCCATAGTATCGGTGCTCAAGAGAAACAATCGCGGCTCCAAACCTTTTCGCTAGCACCTTGACACCGCAGGTAAGAAAAGCGATCCAGTTCAATCGAGAAAAAAGTTTTCTTACCGCACTGTAATCGTTTTGGATCCCTACACACGGTCCCTCGGGACATATCTTGAGAAACACTGGCCCGTTGGGAGCATCGAAGTAGTCCGTAAACTCATAGTAGCGCTGAGAAAAAGTTCTATCGTCCTGTAAATATCGAGCAATGTAAAATTCCAATCTCTCGAAGAACAAACAAAAAGAATTCTTACTTGAGTCGCGTAGTGATCCAGAGTCTGTGTATACCAATGAGCATCAGTCGTCAATAGCGCATCGCCGCGATGCAGCGTGGCATGGAATGAGACGCCGGCACAGGCCGACACCAGCAAGAAAATGCACCAAATCTTCTCCATCTCGGGATCCAGAGAGAAATCTCCCGCTTCCAATCCTACGCGTAAAAGCCAGAGAGAAATCTTGCGCTTCCAATCCTACTCGTACCTCGGCGCATTCACCGTCTGCTCGATCCCACGTCAGATGAAAACAAGCGATCCATCCAATCCTGATAAACTCTGGGTAGATGGTCTCCCTCAACTTGGCGTGATCGCTACACTCAAGCAAGACTGACTTCTTCAAAATATAACACTACTTAAGATCCGCCGAATTGTGGGCCTTGAGATGCAACGTAGCATCAGCATTGCTCACATCCATGTCACTGATGGTGCTGGCTGCGCTCTCGCCAGACATGTTACTCCGATCATAGCCAAAACCTCACCCTCCAATAACACAAAAATGAGATGAGAAGAGATATGGATGAAGAATCCTTGCATGAGGAGGAGTTTAATGTGAAAACTTCTAAACAGGAGTTCGGTGATGACATTCAGTTGAAATTTTATAATGTAAAAATGAAGCAGCCAGCCGTCTAATATTCCTCAGGACACTATTTGATTCAGTCCTGACTGTCCGCCACGAAAAGACTTGAATGAACTGCTCCCAGGACGCCGGTGGAGAATGGGGGCGCTGTCAAGGATCCAGGCGCTAAGTTTACACTCCTCCCGTGAGCTAAAGTAGATATGGAGGGATTGACTCGGAGAATTGAGCGGCGTCCAGCAAAGCAGTGGCCGGCTTCATGGACACTATAGAGACTCGGAGGTTGCTCAGAAACAATCGCATATGAAGTACGAGATCAGAGAGACTCCTGAGTTTTCCTTCCGGATTCTTTTCTTTTTTTTTTTTTGCTTTGCTGATCGTACTCTGCTATTAACTTGTACTTGGAATTCCAGTAATTTTGTATGGATTGTAACACACTTGTACCTTTTTGCTTTAAAAGTACAAACATTTATCTTATAGCTGTTTGGGGTTTAGACAAAATGGTTGTGCTCAGCAAAAGCTTTTTGCAGGTTGACGCTTTGCTCCATTTTGATAATCTCTTGTGTCCGTAAAAGGAGAGGCATGTCATTGCCTGCAGTGGAGACTGCTTACAAATTACAATCAAATATCTATATCCAATCCTTAGCGTAAGACAACGTTTCTAGAGGTCGGTTCACAGACGTGGTTCAGCTTCTTGGCATGGTGTGTGCTATGCGTTTGAGTTCTGCACGCAAGTCCATACCAGCAATCATCCCTTCTCGCGGCCTCAGGGGGCATTTCCTGGTGAACAAAAGAAAAACGCAATATACGTCTCAAAACTACAAGCTTAAAAAGCTCACCGTCTTCGGGATGGACATCCTAAACTTGTCTAACAAGTGCCCAATGACTTTGTCAGCACAGTCACTGCAAATGCACAGTTCATCAGAGCCTGTCAAGAGAAGTAGAGCATTAGAATCTTACTTGCAGACTGCCGAGGTTGACGTTATTGCTTGCATGTCTGGGAGGGCTGAAAGAACCAAAATAATGGTTGGCAAAACGAAGTATATTACACAAACATACCAAGCTCAGACCGATCCACCTTCTGCATCCAATCCCTCACAACACCTTCGACGGTGAGCCCATGCTGAGATATGTATTGGTTTGTAAACTGCACAGCAAGATCAAAGTCAGGAAATACAGAAGTATAGGAATGGAGAAAATGGAAATGACCTCTTGCTCGACTGTATTGGACTTGTGAGTTCCATGGGGAATGGAACTTATTTGCCGCTCGTTCATCTAAAATAGAGAGAAACTTCAGACGATGATCATAACGAACACGACTTACAGGTAGCAGTCTTTCGCTTGGGCATCCGATCTCGCCAGAGTCCGAGGGAAGGTTCTGAGAGCGCCAATAAGCATCGCAACATATAACTCTGCAGGCAGCACCTGAGAAAAGGAAAAGCTAAGAGTCAGAAGCACAATGACAAGCAGTAGATTACATCTTTGCGGAACACTAAGATCCGTTCTCTCTGGCATTTCCCAACCGCAATTGTCACAGATTAAATGCGTACTACCAGGTTGACATTGGAATGCGCTGCTGTTCGCTACAAAGAAGCAAAACAAGAGTGGGAAATCAGAGACAAAGAAAAGCTTACAGTTGCATTGTCGACAGGAAGTCCGCTCCTCATCATCTTCACCACCTTCACTTTCATAATCACGGTCGGCATCACCGTCACGACTATCGGCCTCTGATTCGTGAATGCTCTCCCCCTCATCCTCATCGTCCTCGCCTTCTCGTTGAGATGGGAAGGATGGCACAACCGGAACGCTGCTCAGCGTTGTGCGTAAGTTGCTGCCAACCGGTCGCATGCTGCTCAAGTTTGCGCGGAAGTTGCTCATGGTAATCGGTTTTGGATTGTTTAGTTTCATCTGTCCAAAGAAGTGAGCCCAAAGTAAGAAAGAGAAAGGAAAGAAGAGAGAAATCCTTACAAAGCTCGAGGTGACCACGGCAACTTTGTCCATCTTCTCAATCACCTCCGGCGAGCGCTTGAGAGAAGGATTGTTGCTTAACAAGTCCTCCACCAAGCTAGCCATCATATGGTTCTTACAGGCGTAGACGATATCACCGCGGCACTGCGGACACTTACACCCGCCCTGTCCTCTGGCTTGAGAGGTCTTGTACCACTCCGAGAAGCACGCGTTACTGCAAAGAAGAAAGAAGAACAACAATGAGGAGAAACTAAACTCGCGAGAACGAGCTCGAAAACCTACCAGAAGTTGTGCTGACAGGGTGATACGCACACCACATCGTGCCAGATCTCCAAGCAAATGCAGCACTTGAAAGTGGCCACATCGAGCGTTGTCTAGCAGAGAAATCGCAAATCTCAGACTAGAGAAAAAAGAAACAAATGGCCAAACCTTGAGTCGACTCTCATCCTCTGGCTCTTTCTTCTCCTCCTCCGCTGGAGCTTGCTTTTCTTCTTCCGCTGGCGATTTCTTCTTCTCCTCCGCTGGAGATTTCACTTTCTCCTCCACTGGAGATTTCTTTTTCTCCTCCGCTGGAGCTTTCTTTTCATCTTCAACCTTGAGCCGCTTATCGTCCACCTCGTCGTCGCTATCGCCGCCAAGGCGCAAGCTCTGTGAAACGCACTCGATCAAAACCACCGACCAGAAGGAAGAGGAGAACGAAACCTACATCGGGAATCCGGCGCTTCTGGGCAGCTGGAGGACGATCGCAGAAAATCTGTGAAGCAAAGCGAGAGAAGGGAGAGAAGCACAGTACCTGACGCCATGATCGCAGCGAAGAGGAGCAAAGAAATTTAGGGCTCGTGGAAAAGAATATGCGCTACGGCAAACGAGAATATACCCCGTTAGCTTCCTCTAGAAGGATCACTTTGCTCGAATAATGTGCCGTTCCTTTTAGGGCTTGTAAAAGCAAATATTCGGCACTCAAAAAAAGAATATACCGCGGTCTACAAAGGATCAGTCGTTCTGCTCGTCGTCGTGTGGGCGAAGAAGGCTGAGAGACACTCCAGCGCCGAGTGTGGTTGCTACAATGCCTAGAGATACCTCTGTTGGTACGTGAAGACCTGTGATCAAAGAAATAAAAATCACAAAAGCTAAGATCAAACGTGGCTTACCAAAGAAATCTAGCACCATCTTCGCTCCAATGAAGCCCAGGATGGCAGCTACGGCAGGCTGGATGGTACAAGAGATGTGAGCACCCAAACCGTGAAGCATCATCTTAAAGAAGTTCTTACTTGCAAGTATTCGAGCTCGGCCATACTGCTCGAAATCAATGTGTACAGTGATCTTAATCCTGCACAGAAGATGATGTCAAGTCTTCACACTGGATTTCAAGGATTTACCAAGAATGGCGAAAAGGTTGGAGGAGAAGACAATGAAGGGATCTCTGGTGACGCCAAACACTGCTGGAATCGAGTCCACCTGTGGAAAGAACACTGGAGTGAACTTTCAAGCATCCAAAACTAGGTGCGCTACTTACGGCGAAAGCAATGTCGCTTAGCTCAATCACGGCTAGCGTGAGAAGCAGCGGTGTCGCCTACAAAGACTTAATGCGTTAGCTTCATTCCGAAACTAGAAACTTCGAACCATTCTGACGCCATCAATCGTAGTGAAGAATTTTTGCCCGTCGTAATCGGCTAGAAAGAGCAACGTTAGATTCTACGAGCATAATTCGCGAGAACTCACGGGTCACGGGAATAAAGCGCTTGCATGTATTCACAATATAGTTCTCAGAAAAATCGTTTTCTTCGTCCGAGCCTGTAAGCAGCTGAAGTTATGCAGTTAAGAGAAGCCTTGTGAAACCAGACACAAACCTTATAAGAGGAAAAGAGGAGTATGGCCGCAAGCAAGAGGTTGACAACTTCAAATCTCTGTGACCACAACCAACGCTATAAGCAAAAAGAAACAAACATTCAGTACGTGCCTCTAGAGTAGCAACGCCGAGAAGAATCATGGTAGCCCGAAAAACAATAGCTCCAGCTATTCCATACGTGAGAACGCGACTCTAAGTAGAACATTTCGCCAGTGAGGAAGCTAAACTTCATACTCTGCGCACCTGATACTGAAGTGGTACTTGGAAATAGTTGAAAATAAGAACAAAAACGAAGAGGTTGTCGACCGAGAGGCTTTGCTCCAAGAGGTATCTGCACCATTGAAGTTAAACAACACAAACACAGGAAATTTTAGAAGAAAATACCCCGCAAAAAACTCGGACGCTTTTGTTGATCCTTCCGTGACACCAACAAATGCTCCAAAAGCGGCTGCAGCAGTCACCTAGTAAACAAAGTTCCCGGAAGTTGTGCTTTTGTTTTTGGTTTCTTTTGTCACTCACCCAAAATACGACTGTCTTAATGGCCGCCTCCTTTTCTATGACTGGCTTTGTGACTGGAACGTCCTCGATCTCGATCTCGCCAACAGTGGAGACTGAAATAGCAGCAGCTTCCACGAGCTTCTCGGCAACAATTCCAATGCTTTGTTCTGTCGATCCATTGTGATCATCTGCGTATCGAAAGCTTAAGAATTGTAAAAAGAAGAAAGATCATTGCTCAAAGAAAGAACAAGAAAAAAAAGGAAGAACAATGAGAGAAAACTTTGTTTTACCTTGTGTGTCTTTTGCGCATGACAATGCAACAGTGTCCTCGAAGTAGAGAGCATGCTTGCTGCAAGTACAAAAAAAAAAACAGAAAGATTTCTTGCTAAGCGATTCTCTAGAGACTAGATGATCTTACCGACCATATACACTAGAGGATGTTCGCATCATTCTCTGCGAGATCC